TGCAAAGCAGACAGAGAGCAACACAGGGCAACCAGCTGCGATGCAGGTGAGGACAAAGAACTCAGAGTCCTCACTGCAAAGCAGTTTCCAGGTCTTTGCTTCTCCCAGGCTCAGGGAGGTCAGCGATTCCTCGCGTGGCTGCAGCACCGCTGTGCCCCTCCTGCATCACAGTGGAACCCGGCCCCTCACCAGGGCGTCTGCCTGCACGCCCTCTCCACCCAGCCAGCAGGCAGCCCCGTCCCACTCCTGGTGTCGCTGTGTCCTGGGTCACCTGACAGGCAAACGGCCCTGAGGGAAACTGTCAGAGTCCACAGAGCTGCCCTGCTCCCCGGGGTCCACGTCGGCCGGAGCTGCCCCTGCCTTCCAGCTCCCCAGAGCTGCGGCCGCCCCAGCCTCGGCCCAGTCCTGGAAGGCCCTGGAAGTCGCAGCCAGGCGTGTGGCATCTCTGCCCAGCCTCTCCACAGGCCCCGATCTTGGGCTGGGAGAAGGCTGCTTTTTTATCTCTAACCTTGTCCTGGGCTTCAGGATGACAAAACGCACCAGCACGTACCACACGGTGGCGATTTCATTCTGTCCTGGTGGAAGGGCTGGAGTGAGACAGGAAGCAGCTGCTGCTCCTGCTCCCTGACGCTCTCCCCACCCCAGGCCCGAGCTAGGTGAGGCTCCAGAGACGAGAGCCCGGCCACCCCGGTCCTGGGACCCATAAATCCCGAGCCCGCAGTTGATCCCGCAGAGGGGACTGGGGCTGCAGGGGTGGACGGCTGTCAGGGGCTGCAGACAGACCGCAGCCAGGCCGCGGCTGCACCATTAGTCACAGCGCAGAGCCTGCCCCGGTCAACCTCAGGGCCAGGCCAGCACTGGCCTCAGCCGGGCCCCGGGGACAGAGTGTTTCTGCGCTCGGGAATCCGAGCCAGGCCTCCACTCGGGGGGCGGAGAGGCAGGCGAGCAAATAAATCTCTGGCCTCCGTCTGGGGTGCTGCTCAGGCAAGTGTGGAGGAGTCGTCCTGGGGGCGGGGGCGGAATGCAGGTGGCAGACGCCATCCCCAGAACGCTGAGCCCGGAGCTCAGCCCAGTGATCCTCAACACCCAAAAGCCTCGCTCCCCTCGCCCCGCATGGCCACCCTCGCTCCTGCACCGAAAAGTCAGTGCCCACCTTCCTGCTCCAGGGGACTGAGGACGAGATGACTGACCCCCATGGCCAGGGACAGGACAGGACCCAGGAGAAAGAGGGCAGGGCTGGCGTGTCGGGCCCCACCGTGAAGCAGTCAGGGGCTCCACATGACGGGTGGTGGTGGTGATGATGTGGTGACCACAGCTGCCTTGCTGAGCCCAGCTGCTGCCAGGTTCCCATGCTTTCTAGTCAGTGTGGAGGCCCACGACTGTGGCAGGCGTCTGCGACCCCGTGCTCCAACTCCGCAGGTGGCTGAGGACAGGGCCCTAACCCCTGCACATCCGCATTCATGGGGGTTTGCTTCCTGTCCCTGTGAGGCTCACTTCCGGGACTGGTGTGGAGACCCTGGTGTCTTCCTTGGGAGCAGTCCCTAGGGAGGCCGAGGCCCATGCAGGGGCCACAGCTGGGACAGCTGGCTTCCCCCCAGGAAGCTGGGCCCCTGCCATGCGGCTAATCTGCCTCAGAAACCAGTGGCAGTGAAATCTGTTGTCACAATGCTGGGTTCGAGTACTGTCTTCTGGCAGCCCGGTCACCTCTCAGAAATGCTCAGGTCCCATCCCAGATGCACACAGGCAGAGGCACCTGCTAGTTCCAAAGCTTGATGGGTGTTTTTGTTTTGTTTTGATTTCGGACAGGGTCTCACTATGTAGCCCAGGCTGGCCTTGAACTCCTGATCCTCCTGCCTCAGCCTCCTGAGTGGAGGATTCCGGGGGAGCACCACCTACCACACCTGCTGGCTCTCCAGGTGTGAGCAGCTCTGATCTACTCCACCCCTGGCCCAGCCTGGGCCGAGCCACAGTTCCGGGGAGTCCCTCTCCCCAGGGGCCCTTCCTGGGTGCTGTGTCCGGGTGAGCCGAGCGTCCCCCTGCACCCAGACACGGGGATGAGTGTGACGCGTGTGTATGGCCCGGGAGCCTCAGGATGGCGTGCAGGGCAATCTGGGCAGCAGCGTCCCCGGAGCGGGAGAGGCCAGCACGCCCTGGGCGCAGACCTAGTCACCCGAGGGCCAGGGTCGAGCTGCCTGTTTCTTGAGGGGCCAGCTGCTCCTGGGGTCCCCAGTATGTGGCCCTTGGTGCCTGCAAAGGCCGAGACTCCTGGGACAGGCCAAGGCGGGGGGCCGGCGCTCTGGTTTCCAGGTCCCCGTTCCCAGCCGCACTGCTGGGTGCTACAGTGTCGTTCAGGGCCTCCTGCCTGGCTTGGGCACCACACGCCCTCCTTCCTGCAGGAGCTCTGGTCGCTGGGCTCTGCCCAGCCGCTCCAGGACCTCTGCTCCGTGGTGGACACGCCAGGCACTGTCCTGTTCTCCTCTGCCCTTTCTCCAGCTCAGTGCCAGGGCCCTCGGGTGGCCCAGGAATGACCCGAGGCTTCCGCAAATCGTGTTAGCCCCGTTTCTGGCCGACCCTGTTCTGCTCTCGTTGACCGAAGTCAAGCGGAGTGATTCTCCACGTGGCAGCCGCGCCTTGGCCTTCTCCGGCCCGAGGCTTACGGTCCCTCCTTTTCCAGAGGGCGAGGACTCTGGCTCATCCCGTCCCTCCTGGCCGGGCTCTGCCACGTCTGGGAAGCCCAGGGTTTCTCCCAGATCCAAGGCTCACTCTGCACTTCCCCGCAGCCTGGGCTCCCCTTTCCCTGTCTGTCTCCCCACCCCGACTGGGGACACTGTGGAGGGAGGGCAGGACACCTTTCCGTCCAGCAGTGGGAGGCAGAGGGCCTGCCCGTTTCACTTGTCGAGAGGACACAGGGTGGGTGGAGAGGCTTTGGGGACCCTGGTGTCTGCTGCCGCCTGCTCCCTGGACAGAGAGTGAGAGGCGGGGGATGCAGAGCCAGGAGCCTGGGTCCCGAGGCCTGGCCATCACTGGGTCCCCCTCTCAAGGGCTCCTGGGAGCCCCACTGCTCTCCCTGGGCTCACAGGACTGCACTTCAGGTCCCAGAGGGGCTGCCTTGCTGCCTCCAGTGCTGGCCGCTGTGACCCCGGCCCAGAAACATTTCCTGGGGATCAAATAACCAGCTCCTCTGAGCCCCCATCAATCTGCACCGCTAAATGTCCCCTCCCTGCAGGACTAACTACCTGAACCCTAACCCTGGTCCCGGCCAGGGGACAGCCTGAGTAATTTACTGTCATCTCCAGTTCCCAGGGCTGTAACTCAGAGCTGCTCCGCTCCGTCTGAGACAAAACAGAGTGATACCTCGGTTCACCATTCACCGAGGGCTCCGAGAGGTGCTGGGCTTGTGGATGAAAGCAATAATCCCAAATTGAAAGGGCTTTTCACGAACATTCCCTAGCCAGGCCATGGGAACCCCAATTGCTGTTAACACCTTCAGGCTATCAATCAGGATATAAACTCAGAAAAGCTGACCCTTATTGCAGATTGTCAGCATACTACACACCACGCTGCTCCCAGTAGTGACAACAACAAGCCTCAGTTAGCGTCCTGATTGTTTCAGGCGGTGCTATTTAACATTAACGAGGGCATGAATGATAAAGTTAACGCCTGATTACTAATTGCTCAGGTTGTTGAATGAGTTGTTTCTTCATGTGTCAGATGCTGGGTCAGTACTTTAGAGACACAATTTGATGAAGCTGGGCCCAGGTTTATGGGTTCTGTACCAAGGTCACGTGGCCAGCAGTGGCGGGCACACGGCCTGAGGTCGGTGTCCTCCTGCAGGGATGGCCAGGTCTGTGCCGAGCCCGGGGCAGCCTGTGACTTCGCCGTCCCGGCAGCCATGCCGTGGTCCAGACTGCTGTCGCACGTGCCCCAGGGCCCCCGGTGCTCAATGTGCCAGCTAGGATTCAGGGCGCCTGCTGCCTCCTGCCGCCTTACCCTCTCCGCACAAAGCCGTCAGTCTGGGGCTCTCCTTCCTGATACCTGAGCTTCCCGGGACCACCAGGGAGCACGCGCTCACCCGCCCGCAGCTGTGTCAGAGAAGGGAGGATGGGGCCCAACTGCTAGGCACCTCCTGCATCCCTCCCTGCGCCTGCCCTAGGCCCCGTGACCCTTTGGAAGAGGAAACCCAGTTCTGCTCCAACTCATTGCTCCCCTTTCCTGCTCTGCCCAGACAGCAAGACGGTAGCGGCAGGCCCTGTGCACCGCCCCTCCCTGTGCCTCTGTGAGCATGCGCGTGCGCTGGAGCCTCGGGCCGTCACAGCCATGTGACGCCGGCACAGACTCACCTGCATGGGGGCAGCGCTGCCCGCTTCCCACGAGGAGGACCTGAGACCGTGGAGGTCCAAGCCCTGGCTGGAGCAGACAACAAGGTAGGCCCACGGTCTCCTCCCTCCCTGCCTGTCTGTACAAGGCTTTCATGAGACGTAAGAACCCTGTAGTTCACCCGCTTCCGGCCCGTCACTACCGCTGCTCCAGGACGCCCTGGACGTTCCCCGAGGGAGGGGCCCTGCAGACCCTGGCCATCCTCAGCACACGGTGCCAAGCCTCACTCGCCCACTTCTGAGTTCTAGCCCCGCGCCCTGCGGGTCGGGTGCACCATGCCGTACCTGCCCGGGCACCAGCAGGGGACACTCAAATTGTTTCGCTGCTGCGACTCGTGTCACCTGACTCCCTCCCAGGCACTTCATGAGGAGCACGTGGCATTGGATGCAGAAGCCTTCCGAGCTGCCGGGCAGCCGGGGGCGGGCGGGGGGGGGCACCAGGGAGGGCAGGCCGGCCGTGTTTGTTTATTTGTTTCCCGGAGCAGTAGCCGGGCCTGGTCCCAAGCAAGCAGAGCCCTGTGTGCTGCTTATCTCGCCCACTGCCGCGTGCTGTGCCGCGTGGCCAGAGTCTGGAACCAAGCCTTTGTTTTTTTGCTGTAAATCAAATGATAGCGAGTAGCTCTGTAAGGGAATGGTTTTTATTCGGAGTGATTCAAAAGTTTGGCATTTAACGTTTACGGAAAACAGATCTATCTTCTACCACTAAACTCAGGAATTGTTGACTGGAAATAATCTAACTAAACCAATTAAACACTTCATGGATCCTTCTCATCAGCAATTCATCCGTCTTCGGGCTATCAGGAGGGGCTCGCCCCGCGCGTGTTGCTAGGGAGCCCTGGAGTCTAACTGGTAAACACACGCAGACCGGGGGCAGAAGAAAAGCAGGCCGGCCGGGAAGCACACGGCCTCTCCCGGCCTTCTCCCGGGGTGAAATGAAACAGGAATGGGAGATCATGCTCTTCCCCGTCCTAATTTAGCAAGCAGGATTGTCTCACCCAGGCCCGCAGAGCGTGTGCCGCCCCAGGGCGTCCTTACACACAACAGGCTCTGGGTTGTTCAGCAGTCGCCTGCAGGCGAGGCCAAAACAGGCTGCTTCCACCTCCTTCAAAGGGCTGTGTGCTGCTCAGTGGGTTGGCAGTGTTGACTGCACCAGGCGAAGGACCTGGGCCGGGCAGACAGGGAAGTGCCTGGCATGGGCACCACGCTGGAGGGCAGGCTCTGAGGGTGGGGAGAGCAGAGCACAGAGCCCGGGGGGCACAGGCGTCGGGTGCTTCCTCACCGGCTGCCCCGGCCAGCTGTGGTCGCCCAAGCCACTCGAGCCTGGGGTGAGGATGGGGTGCAGGCCTGGGACCTGGCTGGCTCTGGGGTCCGAGTTCCTAACCACAGCCCTCCACTGCCTCCGAGCTGGCTCCACTCCAGCGCACCACAGCTGTAAAGAAATCCGGCTTCTTTGTCCTTAGGAGACAGAAGTAAAATTTTCTCATCGCACATTGGACTGTTTAGCTCTGCAACTAGTGCTGGAGGGGTCCTCATGGCCCACCTTTACCGTCTGGGTGTTCTTGGGTGAGTGCGTCGCTTCCGACCCTCAGGGAGGCCAGCGGGTACCGTGCATCTTCCACGAGGCCCGTTCTCCAGGGCCAGCGAGGGTCGAAGTCTGGTGAGGGGATTTGGGCTCTCAGGCCCGAAGGGCCCACAGCGTCACCTGCCTGGAGCGTGCACACTGCAGCCCAGAGGAGCTGGGTTCCTGAGAAGTGAGTCTCCCCAGCTCGAAGACCGGGTGGTGGCTCTCTCCCTCCTTCGTGCAGAGCTGAGCTGTTCGGGGAAAATGGCAGAGTCGCCCGGAGATTGGCCTGGAGTCCGAGGGAGACGCCCACCAGTGGCTCGGGTGGTGTGCGGGTCGGAGGCGGCCTCCCTGCCAGTCCCGGCACCCGCACGCTGCTCCTCTCAGCAGAGCCCAGGCTCAGGGCTGGACGGGGCCGGGGCTGCTGCTGTTCACACTGTCTGTTACTTCGCCTCTACTTACGGGAACGACTCCCACTTTCGACTTACAGGACCGATAGGAAGCTCCCCAGGATCTGTTCAAATGTGGGCCTATGGTCAGCCAGGCAAATGGAAGCGCAATGGTCGAAGCCATGACAGGAGCCCTGGCCAGAGCGGACTCGGGACACTCTCAGCCATCCAGGCGACACAGGCGCCTCTGGGCCAAGCCGCTCGGGCCTGGGGTGCTCGGAGACGTGGAGGCTGAGTCGGGCAGAGCAGCCTCGCCCGCCGCTCTCAGGCAAGGTTTGCCGGGGTGTCTGCCTCTGTCCCCTTCAAGCCCCACTTCTGGCCAGGACCAAAGGTGCCTGAATCCCGTCCTGTCCCCATGGACTCAGATCGTCCCTGGTGATGCCAGGGAGCTGGTGACTGCGGCCTGGGGAACAGGAGTGGGCCACAGAGGGGCTGGGCTCCCGGCCCGCGTCCCGAGCACCAGCGACCTCACGCTGCACCCAGCCTCAGCGTCCCTGGCATTGCCGGACGCAGCCCCCTGGGCACTGCCCTCCCTTCGTCCTCTGCTCCCAGGCAGGCGGCTGAGGAAGGCGGGCGGCAGGGCTTTCCTGACTCGGAGGTGAGTGCAGCCGCGCGTCCCAGAGCCCGGGGTGTTCGGGGACCGCCGACGTAGGGCCATGTGCCCACGAGGGCAACACTCAGTGGGGGCCGGAGGACGCCCCAAGAGGTGGCTCCCACAGACCGCGGGGCCCCAGGGCTGCTCTGGGGCTGGTGGCTTCTTCCCAGGCCGGGCTGGACAGCCACTGGTTCCCTCCCTGGGGACAGAGGGAACAGCCAGAAAAACAGCACCAGGAAGAGCTTGCGCAGGGCCGGGCCCTTGTGCGGAGAAAGCAGGAGAAATGACGGGGAGCAGTCAGAGGTCAGGAAATCAATTTTTGTCTCCTTACAGATCTATCCATGCAGAGGCTTGTAAAGGTCACGCCTGTCCTCTTAAAGAACCTCCAGGATTTACATCCTGCCCAGCCCTCGGCCTCCTGGATGGTAAACATGAAGATCCAATTAGTTTTCCCTATAACTCAAAGAGATCCAGCAACAGGGGCCTTTCCGGTTGGGAGTCGGTTTTCTTGCTCCTCGATTCGGGGATGAACTTTAATCCACATCTTATCTCCTGCTTAAAAATGAACATCTCTTCTCTTCTTATCACTGTGTTGCTCCCTTCTCACTTCCCCTCCCTCTGGAGTCTTGGCCACCTTCCTCCTTGGCAGTGACAGTGGATTCTTCTGACCGAGTTACTCGCCGCTCTTGGTTACCTTAAGAATTTCCCCCTGGCCGGGTCCCAGCCCTGCTCCTCCCCGGCACTGGGCATCCGGGGCCCCACTTCTGAGTCTTTGCCGAGGAAGGGCATGGATTGCTGAACACCGCTCCTTTGTGGTGCAGTCCCCAGAGATGAAGTCCCGAGCAGCCTGTCCCCAGTTCCTGGCCCCTCCCCCCCTCTGGGTTCACCAGTCTACACTGCTCTCCCCGGGTCGTGGGTGAGGTGGGCGCCCCAGTGCGAGTGCCCAGCCCCAGCCCGCAGTGCCGGGCTGCGGGTCTCAGAGTGGTCAGCTCTGGCTCCCGGCTGAGGGAAGCTTTCACCCACTTGTCCTGACGTGAGCAATTCTGCAGGCAGGGCTGGGGGCCAGGGAGCGGTGGGCCTTCCGGGCAGGCGCTCTTCTGGTGCCTCCTTCGTTGATTATGGGGCCTCAGCAGGAGGCCTGGGCTCCTCAGCACAAACCTAGTCCCTGGGGCTCCCGGAAGTCACCACAGCCAGCACTTCCTGAGCGTGGGAAACACTGCACTGTACCTGGCCTCTCCCCAGGAGCTCCCACGAGCGCCTCCACCTGGAAGGGAATCTGGGCGGGCACACGGCGTGGGACCTCTGACACGCAGCTTGCTTCCCGCTAGCTCTGATGCAGGAGGGTGCGGAACCCCACGGCCACCTTGTGTGCTGGAGACAGGGAGGGGAGTTTCCAGTCTCCTCCTAAAAGATTACTTGGCTTCTTCCTTGCTGTTGCCTAAGAGTCTGGATAGGACGCACCTCAAGGCAGAATGCCTTCAGAAGTTGCAAAGAGTGGAAATCCTAGCTCAAGCAGCTTTCATAGAGGAGACTTATGTGCTCATGTAACTACTGGTTGAAGTCTAGGCTTAGCCAGCACCTCCATGATGTTTCCATGGACTCAGCTTTCTCTGGTCTTTCAGTTTGTCCTTCTGTGGTGTCAGCTTCAGACAAAGCCTGATCTGCCTCATGGTGGCAAAATGGCTGCGGTGGTTCCAGGCTTCACATTTTCATAGTCAAAAGGATTTGTCTTGGGTCTTTTCCACACCCATGCAGGAATCTAAAGAATCTGCGTTGTCAGGAAGGCTGAGTATGGAGTGGCTGGCCACTGGGTAAAGAATTAAGATCTTTGAATTACCTCCTGTTAGAGCAGTTGAAGTGTAGGGACTTCCTCCCCGAAGTGTGAAGGTGGAACGTGCCAGTTGGTGCTGTGGCCTCAATGACTCGGGCTTTTCTGCTCTGTGGTGCCGTTTCCTTGGTGTCACCGATGGCGGCAGGAGTGCCGGGTGCTACCTTCTCAGTGTGGTCTGAACAGCAGGGGCAGCAAGGCTGGGAGCAGAGGGGCCTCTTCACGCACCCTGCTCTGGTCAGGGCCGGAAGCATCCCATTGACGCCGCCCCTCTGCCTCCTCCGCCTGGCCTTGCCTGGGCCCGGGCGGACTGTGGAAGTGAACACCGGAAGGTCACCCAGCAGTGCCCTGCTTTACACTGCAGAGTCGAAGGCCAGCCCTGAGGGTGTTGCCAGTGTCTCAGAAGCGTGAGGAGAGCAGACCGAGTCTCCCAGCAGCTGCCTTGGGCCACTCTGTCTGGGAACACAGAGCCGAGGGCGGCCAGGCTCCAGGGGCAGCCCCGCCTGCTCCAAGCATCGGCACAGACTGAGAAGCCCGGGTCTGTCTTGGCCTCCTGACCCTGGGAATGTGCTGCCGACTCTTCCTTAACTTGAAGCTCTCATTCCGTGGCAAGACTGCTTCCCCACCAGCTAACTGCTGGTCCTCAGGGCTCTGCTCAGCTCAGAGGGCCTGAGAGTGGCTGTCACTCAATAAACCGTGCTATCGGCCAGACAGTTTTGGCTGAACTGAAGACGGAGCAAGGAGCGCAGTGCAAGGAGGCCAGTCCACACAGGCAGCTCTGGCGTGCTCGGTTTCCTGCTAGTCCAGCGCTGGGCTCTTTGCTGCCCTTCTGACTCCCTCTGAGAAATGATGGAAGCAAGTTTTTCACCGCAGTTGGAAGCAGGCTCTGTGGGAAGGAAGAGGTCTCTTGGAGAAGCGGTGACAGATGAGTCTGCTCGGAGGAAGAAGAAGCTGAGGCACTTGGGAGCCAGGGCCATGGGCTCCGCAGTCAGTGGGCAGGGCCAGGCTTGCAGGTCAGCGCTGGCTCGAGGCTCTCAGTCGCTGTGCTTTGTCGACACACGGTTTGCGTGCACAGCGATGGCGTGGGCCACAGGTGTCCTTCTCGGCTGCCCAGCCCTGGGTCCCACCTGGCCCTCAGTGGAGGCCCCGCCCGGCAGGCACCACTCCCTGAGCCTCTGCAGGAGCGGCCAGCAGGTGGCGCATCCGCAACTGGCAGACAGCTCCTGGGCCACAGCAGCTGCAGCCCGGCCTTGGCCGGGCGCCCTTTCCTGGCCGTGGGGAAGGGGAGGCTCCCGTGCGTCTGTCTGTCTGTCTCGGTTCATCTTGTATTTGCTTGGATCGTGAGGCCCCGCTCGGTCCCCAGGAGTAGGGGTCTTGCTCGGTTTTTGTGTGGTTATAGCTCAGCCTCAGGCTGCTCCCTGCTGGTGAGGGCCTGGGGTGAGGCCAAGCCCCGGCGAATGCCCCCGCTCTCCTCTCTGAGCCTCCTGTCAGCGGCGGCCGGGAGGGTGCACGCCGGCCCCCGGGCTCCGCTGCCCGGACTTGTTCCCCTCAGCCCGGGAGCCCTCTGGACCCCAAGTCTCCTGCCCTGTGGCCCTCCCTTTGGTCGAAGCATTTCCATGCGGTAGCCTCTCCTCCTTTCGGTGAAAAACACACGGATTGAAATTCATCCTTCTCGCCTTCTTTGTGGCCCTGCCCACTCGCATCATTGTGCAGCCGACAGACAGCAGCGCCCACCCCTCCGCCACCGTCCGCAGTCTGCCAAAAGCTGCTGCTCCCCTCGGGCCCGGGTGGGACCTAGCTGTTGGGCACCGCCTGCTCTGGGCCCGCCGCCTTTCTTCAAAGCTCGAGAAGAAGGGGTGAGAGAGGCACCGGGGTCCCCCGCGCACAGGGGATCTGTTCCCAGACCCACGGGCAGCGCAACCCTAAGCTGCACCCCTCAGAGCCAGGTTCCCCGAATCCTGTGCTGGGTCCCCCTTGGCCCGCGACTCCTGTGCTTTTAAGTCATAAAGGGCTCTGTGGACACAGCACAGCAACCGTGTGGCCTCAGCCTGATCCTGCTCGGCAGCCGGCATCCAAGGACGAAGGATGGGCCCTGCCAGAATGGGGAACGGCCGAGGCCTGGGTCCTCATCGTGTGAGCGAGCCAGGAGAGGGCAGCATGAGCTGCTAATTTCTAGAATTCTCCACTGACCACTTCAAACCCTGTTTGACCTAAGGTCACCAAAACCGTGGAAATCAAAGCCACAGGTAAGTGGGCTGTTGTGTATTTTCCCAGAACGCACCTATCTATAACGCTAGATCTGTCCTTCCTCCTTCACAGCGTGGCTGGATGTGTCCTTGTGTCTGACACTCTCCCACTCTGCTCGAAGCCCAGGCTCCAGGACTCGTCCCGGGCAGGACCACAGACCTCGAGAGGCCCTGGCTTGGAGCTCAGCTCTGCTGTGGGCCAGGAGTCAGGCCTTGGGGACACCCAGCCCCCGAGGCCCCCGGGAGGGCTCAGCACCTCACTGGCGTGGGGTGCAGGCCCAGACTCCGAGGCCTGGATGCTTTGCCTTCCAACTTCTGGCGCTGCTGCGTCTTGCATTTCCATACATTTTTACCTGTGTGTTTCAGCTGCTGGTCATTTTATCGTACATGGACTCAGTGCCCAAGGACTCTGCTGTATTCTCATTTCCCTTACAACAGAGCAGCCTTGCTCTGTGATGTCCGACTCTTTCTTCTCTGAACATCTGCAGGTTCCCGGCCACCGGGCCGGTGCGCGGGCTCAGGTGGCTCCAGCGTCCGATCGGCCCCCAGGGCATCTTTTGTTCTTTCTCTCTGCCGCTCAGGCGCCAGAGCAAGCGTCGCCTCTGTGATGGGCCCGTGATGCACACGTCACCACAGACCTCTTGTTCTCCGAGAGCTGACGCCCCCAGAGACCGAGCCCCAGCATCCTCTGGGGCCCAGTGTGGGAGGCAGGTGTCCCCCGCGCCCCTGTGCAACCTCAGTGTCCCGAGCTCGAGGGTCGCTGTCCCCAGCCCCACTCCTACCCAGCTCCTCTGAGGGAACCTGAGTCCCCTGTAGAGGTTGCGCAGGAAGGGGGAGCCCGGGCCAGGCAGAGGGCCTTGTGTCCCTTCCTTCCATGCACCTGGCTTTATAAGAGCCCGGGGAGAAACCAGCGGGGCCCCAAGGCTCCCCAGGAAGCTCTGTCCAGAGCCGAGAGAAGCACTCATGTACCCGGTGCGGGTGCTCAGGGCGATCACTGCTCAAGACCTGAAGACCTCGAGCACTTTCCACCTGCAGTCCCAGCCTGGAGGGGACGAAGCTGGGAGAAAAGTGGGCAGTGGCACGGGTGGCAAGGACCCACTGTGGGCACAGCGGGTTCTCTCCTTCCCAGTTCCAGTTGAGAGAAAGGAGCCGACGCCTGGCTGCTGCGCTTCAGACCCCGCCTCTTCCGCCCTGACACTCGCGCGTCTGAGCAGCCGCAATGAAACCGCATTCTCTGCAATTCCGGCCCCAGAGGGGGACTCGCAGCCCAGAAGGGAGCTTCATCAGCGCCAAGCCAAGAGCCACGCCGGAAATGGGGTCAGCATTTCGGCCACACTATAAAAGCTTAAAGGAGAAGGGACATGAAAGGCTTCGTAAAAAGCCCCTTCCGAGATGCACAAATGTAAGTGCCCTGTGCCTTCACACACATTCCTCCTGCGCATTTGAAGCCAAGGGGAGGTTTCTTTCTGACGCCGCACTTTGATCTCTGCCTCTTCATAACTCCTACCCTACCTGTGCTGGGGTCTGGGGAACATGGAGTTGCCGTAAAGCCTTTCTCAAATCCTTCATCAGCATTTAACGAGCGGCCTCCGGTCCCGCCCTTCTGTTCCCTGTCTAGAATGCTTTTCCCTCGTCCCTGCTCCAACACCGAGCTCCAGGTCCCCTGAGTCACCATGATGTATTTTCTCCAACCACCAACCAGCATCTGAAATGATTCCAAGAATCAGGCCTGATCCCCAGCCCCAAGAAGTGCCAGCTGTTTGCTTGCAGTTGTGTTTAAAAACTGTTCCTGCCTCTCCTGTACTCTGGAGTCTCCTTGGCTGGTAGTCAGTAAACATGAACAGAAGAATTCGCTTAGCACAGCTCATGACAGCTAAATCCTGGAAGCAGCCTAAGTGTTGGTCAACAGATCAATGGATAAAGAAAGCATGGTATTTGCACACAATGGAGTACTACTCTGCCCCGAAGAAGGATAAACTTGAGTCATTTGGAGGAAAGTGGATGAATCTGGAGGCCATGATATTAAGGGAAATAAATCAGACAAGCTTGAATATCACATGGTTTCTTTTATGTGAGAAAGCCAAAGTATAAATAATTATAAAAAGAAATAAAGATAACACCGAACAGGAAGATAGACCTTTTGCAAATGAGGAGGAATCAAGAGATGAGGAGGGAAGGGAAGGGGGCTAAAAAGAATGAGGAGGAGTTAGGTACATATGCCGGCTCCCCACGAGGAAAGCGACCATTGCGGACCAGAAACAGCTAGGAAAAGAACGTAAAAAGCAGGGTCTGCAGCAGCCCGAGAATCAGGCCCAGAGCACCCGGCCTCAGGCTGCTCTGTGGGGCTGGGGCTGTGGAGCGGAGGCGACTGTGCTTTCCCCGCCTGCCGCTGGCCTCAGTCCTGCTGACCCCTGAGCACCTCCCTGCGCTACTGCGACACAGTGGGGCTCCGTGCGAGCCGCTGTGCTTGTGCTGCGCTCTGGCCTGGGGACACTGGCGATCGACAGGTTGCGAGGCCTTCCTCAAGGCGGGGCTCCGACAGGGGGAGCCCTGCAGCCTGGGAGCTGGAGCGAGGCTCCCTGGGGAAGGCTGGGGGCGGCAGAGCTGGGAGCCCCTGCATGAAGGGTCCCCTCCCGCCCGCATTCCTCAGGCCCACACAGGCTCCTGGTCCAGTGGGTGGTGCCTGACAACCATGAAGAGCCAGGAGGTTCCTGCAACAGAGAGCGCTGGGCATTCCGAGGAGAGACAGGATTCTATGCGGTGTCAGGCTCCGAAGCCAGGCAGCCGCAGGTGTGCGTGGCCTGAAGTGCGCGGCCTCCCTGGGCAGGAGAAGCTGAGCAGACCGGACGCTGGGCTCGCGGAGAAGGTCGGAGGGAGAACAGCGGAGAACCTTACAGGCAGGGGAGGGCCCGGCCCTGCGTGCCCAGGAGGTGGGGGAGCCATCGGGGCTCTGGGCGTGGCGGCCCTGGCGCGCAGCTGTTCTGCGAGCCTCCTCCTGCCATGGCTCAGGCCCAGGGAGCCCGAGTGACGTTGGGAGGGCGCAGAGCTGGGCTCCAGTCTGCGGCGGATCGCGGAGGCTGTGTGCGCAGCAGGGGTTAAAACAGCCTGGAAGCCTTCGAGAGGGTGCCCTGGACAGGGAGACCTCAGCAGGAGGAGGAGCCAGGCTCAGAAATTAAATCTAAAGGACCGACAGGTGTGAGGACAGAGAGCTAGGCTCCTTCTTGTCCCTGGGGTCGGGTTCTTGGCTCCGTTGGGACAGGAATCAGGGATCAGCACAGGCAGCTCTGCTCCGGCTTGGGGCACGAAGTCCCTCGGCCCTGAGAGTCCGCTCTCTGTGCCCTGCTTCCCCACTCACCTCTGCCAGCTAATGCTGGGGGCCAATGGTGCCCTGTGGGTCGCTGGCCACCTCTGGTTGATGCCAGAGGAGCTCGCTCGCTGGGAGGCCCTGTGGCAGCCACTCCAGCCCTGATCTGCGTGGGCTGCTGGTCTGGGGCTCTTCAGGACCAACAGCCCTGCTGTTTGCATCCCTTTTTAAAGCTGCCATTCTGCTCACACTGCTCGGGTGGCCTTGAGCAGATTTACAGGACTTCTGAGTCCTCACTACAGAGAAATAAATCCTGACTGGATTCATAGGGCCCCTGGAGTGAGGTTTGTCTGAACAGGAGCCCTCTAGACCAAGGGCAAGTAGGCCTTGCGCTGCTTATATACAGCAGCAGGCCGCTGATGATTGGTCCAAACTGGCCTGAGTTCAAGCCTTCTGATTCAAGCTCACTGATTGGTGGGATTTCCGTTCTGTTGCTTGGTTACAATCACACTCACTGTAGTCAGGGCAGACATTTCCTGGAGCAGGTGTGGAGCACCCAGGATGCTGTGGCTGTCATGGCAACAGTGTGGAGGAACTGGGAGACCCAAGCTGTTTGATTGACAGCTGTTAGGTCTTGCTAAAAGTAGCAGGGCCAAAACGAGGGGCCCCAGGAGGCTGGCTGTTCATCACACACAGCTCAGTGGGGCTTGGGGAGGTCAGGATGCTCAGGCCACAGACACACAGGGGCGGGGTCCCTGCCGCTTCTTCAGAGAGGCCACCGTGTGGAGCAGCAGGGGCAGCGAGGGACCTGGGCGACAGCTGAGCCAGCTCCTGCCAGAGCGGCTTGGAGACCCAGGAGGACACGGAGGCAAGTTGTCCTGAGGAAAGGGAGCCATGACTGAAGCGCGAGCCCTCCCAGGGCAGAGGGGAGCCAGGCAGGCGAGACCCCGCACTGCAGCTGCCCTCTCCTCCAGCCACCTGCTGAGCCTCGGGTTTCTATCCTGCGAGACAGGCACTGGAGTGACGGGAGGGGAGGGGTTGGGTGTCACCTTCCCCGCCCCCCGAGGCGGGTGGGGCGGCTTCTGTCCTCGGTACCCGCTGCTCCGGCGGGCGGGCCTCCCCTCCAAACAGCCCCCTTCTCTGAGGGACGCCCCATGCTGGGCGCCGCTGCCCGTCCAGGGCCCTCTGCAGAACGGAAGCTGTGAGCCCACTGGACAGCAGCCCCTCGCTCCCCGCGACACGGGTCTGCTCTGCGAACGAGGCTGCTCTGGGGCACACGGACCAGACAGGGCCACCTGGCCGCCTGTGCCCGGGCGTGGCAGCTCAGCTCAGGGCTTCCTTCCCCTTCCTCCTGGGTGTGCTTCCACCTCCCTGCAGACGTGAGGGCAGCCTTCGGGAGAGAGCTTGTGATCCTGCCTCTGCGGCATGGCCAGCAGCCCTGTGTGGGCGGAGGCTCCCGGGGAGGCTCCGGGGCTCCTGGCAGAGGAAACCCTGCTGACTCTGGACAGGAAGGGCCCTCGGCCTGGTGCCTCCCAGGTCTAGGCTTCAGAATTTGGGTCTGTAGGTCGGTTGGAAACCCAGGCCTGGACTCCACCAAGCAGGAAGTTGGCCAGGAAGGGTCCACTCGGGGTGCAGCTGGCACACAGGTTGGAGAAAGGGTCGGGTTAGAAGAGGCTGCTGGTGGGCTGGGGGTGCAACCCCCAGAGTGTCCTCTCTGCCCCTCCCACACCCTCCTCCTCCTCAGAAGAAGAACCCAGTGTAGAGGAAGGGAAGCCCCTGGACCGGGCGAGCTCCTGACCATCACTTACCTCCCCCTGCCGCCTCCCGGGAGGCAGCTCCGTGCTGGGCACCTGTGCCTCCTCGGTGTGTTCACAGGGTGCTGGGAGACGGTTTGCACTCACACTGCTGCCCACGTCGGGGACACCCGAGACCTGCAGCTCGTGGTGCCTGCTTTGCCAAGCATCTCTGCCAAGCTGGGCTCTCAGGGCTGCCCTGAAAAACTCTGGACACTTCATGGAAGTCAGTGTGGACCAGAGAATGAGTCTCGCAGGGTCCGAGCAGGCTCTACCCTGCCCCGCAGTGGAATTGCACCCCGGGAGTTGCTGCGATGAGCTCAGAATGCAATAAATACTGTTTGCTGAAATTTACGGGCATTAATTTTTCAAGTAGCTACTAAATTGTTAGGACATAAATACTTAAGTTTTTTTTTTTTAAAATCCACTGCTTAACCAATGGCACTGCCAGGCATTTCCTCCTTCCCAGGGACAGCCTAAGATGAGAGAACAAGAGAGTTTGGGGTTCAGCTTCCATGTATCAGGAAGACCCCGGGTGGTGCATTTACTGACGTGGGACTGAGGTGAAGTGGCATTGGGACCAACCAAACACTTCGCTTTGAGATTTTCTAAATAAACAGCTTGGTTTTCTGATTATGAGATTGAGCTGTTAATGGTGGCATCTGCACCTGTAATCCTAGCACTCTAGGAGGTTGAGGCAGGAGGATCAAAAGTTTTAACTCAAAATTAAACCTGGAAAAAAGGCTGGGGCTGCAGCTCATTGGAGAGGCCCTGCTTTCAGCCCCATACTGGGAAAAAACGCGTCTGGTTATATAAAATCCAGAAAGATGGAAAGTGGAAGGGGAAATCTCCACTTAGGCTCCATCCCACTGAGAGATAACAGCTGCTTACATCTTTTGTGGATTTTTTCCCAGACCCTTTTCCCCATGAATATTTAAGAACAGGTATTTTACCAAAAGTGGATCATATGTATCCTGTTTGAGTACCTTAGAAACTTCACTGTATTAGTCCTATTTCCATGCCAACATCCACGATGCATGTATATTTGCAAACATACCTAATTTCCAACCACACGCAATGCATCCAGATTTACTTTAATGCAAATTACAGGGACTCTTTCTGGGGAGAAAAAGTCTCAATTCTAGAACTGCTGGTCTTGGGGCGACTACGCCAAGAGCGGCTCGACTGCGCCCTCTTGTGGCGCTCTGCGGTGTCTGCCATTTTCCTTTGGTCTGTGGCTGGGCTTGGACACAGGCAGGCGAGGAAGGAGCTGAAGGCCTGCACCCGAGATGAGGCATACATTCGAGTAACTCCGAAGCGTAATGGAAAGTGCTCATCTCACAAGAGAGCTGCAGTTAAGATCCCCACGGCCAAGAGCTTCGTTCGGGGAAGCCTGTGTGTGCGGAGGAGGCGCTGGCTGGTGCTCCGCAGCCCCGGGGAGGCAGGAGGAAGAGCTCCGAGCTGGGGGAAGCCGGATGGCATGGCAGGGTCTTGTCCCGAGGCTTACGGGCTGGTGCTCCCAGCCCAGGCACGCCGAACCCTGTCCTCAAGGCCTTTTCCCGGTGAACAGACCAGCGGGGTGTGCAGGAGACCAAAGCCAGCCGGGCAGAGGTGACTGCGCTTGGACAGGAAGCCCTGGCTCGGCTCTCGGCTGGGCCAGGTGCAACCCCGGAGCGGCTCCCTGCGGTGAGCGGGTTTCAGTGTGTTCCAGAGCAATCATGGGCAGAGCTCACTTACAAACGCGGGTGAAGGACAGCCCTGCCTTTGACGCAGCAGGCACCTGGGGTTCCAGGCCCAGGTCTACGGTCTGTCAGGGTCTCCTTGCTGCCCTCAAACAAGTGCCCAGCCGCTGAACGACACCCTGTTTCTGTATGCTCCCCACCTCTGCCACCCCTCCGGCACACCCACGTAGGGTGAGAAGTGATTATATTAATTCTGCACTTCTCATTGGTGACCTCC